CTGAATTTCTACCAGTTTAGTGGTGGAATTAGTTTATAATTGGTGGGATTAGTTTCTGCTGAAACAGCACATGGTTTATTTTTACTTTTGTTGCTCTGGAGTGATTTATAACTTGCAAACGTTCTCCATGTCTTCAGGCTGTGGTGCAAGGCCATTTTTGCTGGCTACAAACGTGGCCTCCGAAACCAGCGGGAACACACGGCCCTTCTGAAGATTGAAGGTGTTTATGCCCGCCAGGAGACAGACTTCTACCTGGGCAAGAGGTGTGCCTATGTGTACAAAGCTAAAAAGTAAGTCACTTTTTGTTCTTATGTTGAATTAACCAACTCCTGTGCCAGCTTTTGCGCGTGCCAGGATGTGAGCAGGCTGTTCGTAGAGCTGTTGTTAGAACAAAAATTAATTGTGCTGGATTTATCAATAGAGTATCCTATGGACCACTTTCCTTGCTTACTTTTGTTTCAGAAGTCCTTGGTTATTTTTGCTTTAGTTGGCTGATATGTTTTAATTCAGATAATTATATTCTGTGAAATAATCATTCACTTCATAAATGGTGAATTAAGAGAGTAAATGGGATGAGAAGCAAGTTTTGCCTGAGAGTTACAAAAACTGAAGGTGGGTTGATAGAGTAAATTGAGATAAAGTGAATTTGTGTGGAGTTGAGCACTGTGAGCTGTTGAGTTACAATAGAATGATTTTGTGAAGCCTGGAGGAATTTGTATCCTGGCTTTTGTGTGGCCATGTCAGAACTTTCTGTGACTGCTGTTCTACTGCCACTGGCAGATGCCTTGAGAACAGCAACTTATTACCTCCCTCTTCCTTGTTTTTTATTTTATTAAGTGCAGTTGTTAGTATTCAGAATTGTCTTGAATAAAATTGATTCGATTGTTAACTTTACCACCATCATTTCCAAGTATGGCACATGGCTGTTCACATAAAGCACTTTATGCCATCTATTGTAATGGCTTATTTTTCTCTTGCCTTTGTTGTGCCTGGAGAAATCTTATAAATAAGGTGTGGTATTTTCTTTGGAGTTGAAATTTTTCAGTATGAACACGTTAGCAGCAGTGTGTTCCAAATTTTTGAGCCTGGTAACTGAAGAGTTCTCCAGTGGAGCTTCTGACACATTACAAGCTGTAATATGTACCTGTTTGAAAAGTACAGTGAAAATTCCAGGCCTGGCAAATTTCACGGGTAAATGAAAGTGGAAGTTGGTCTGGTTAAAGTTGGCCATGGAATAAAGTTACTGAGGTGCCTTGAAGAGGCCACACTGTCCCTGATTGTGACTGCCGTGCTCAGCTGTTCCTTCCCTCTCTTCCCCAGCAACACCGTAACCCCCGGGGGGAAACCCAACAGGACACGGGTGATCTGGGGGAAGGTGACCCGGGCCCATGGGAACAGTGGCATGGTCCGTGCCAAGTTCCGCTCCAACCTTCCTGCCAAGGCCATTGGACACAGAATCCGGGTGGTAAGTGGATTTGTTTTGAAAACAAGATATTTATTGGCAGTTTTCAGGGTGCCTTTTTATTCCCCATGCTATGAGGGAACACTTGTGGTTTTGTTCTGTTGGTGGTGTGTACAACGTGGCTCAGTGATAGTGGTCCTTCTGGAGCCAGGAGAGGCTTATTCCTGGCTTCTTGGGCTCATGTAATTTGTCTCATTGCCAGGGAACTGTGTTCTTGCTCTGGTTGTCTGGAAAGGCTCTTCAAGTTCCAGGACTCGGGTCCTTTCTTAAGCTACCTTGATTTCTTTTTCCTGGATCTTTTCCATGTATTTTTGCACCCATCTACTCCAGTTCCTACCTGTTAATTTTTCTACTGCCTCCCAAATGTTGTAACTGAGGGCAGTGCTGTCCTAACATGTCCCCCAGTACCTGCTCCTCAGTTGGTGCCTTAGCCCCAGGGCTGTAGTGAGACTGTACCTTTTGGTCCCTCACCCAGAGTTATGATGCAGTATTTTCATACTGCCAGAAGGAGTATCAGAGGGGTGCAGTTAAATCCTGAATCCAGAGTCATGGGAACTGTTGCAGTCAGTGTGCTGGAGGGCTGGCAAAGTCCTGCTGCAAGGCATTGAACCAGCTGTTGGGCTTTTCCATTGTCACACCTCTTCTCTGTAAACTGGGGTGTTGCTTTTATAGCAGTTGAAGAGATTGATAGTCTAGATTGTGACTGCGAAACTTGTGTTTAAATCAAGATTTCTAATATGATTTTATCTGGTTTTGTGTTTTACAGATGCTGTACCCATCTAGGATCTAAATTTTTATCTAAAATAAAATGGAGAATCTGTTTAACTTGTGTACCTTTCTGGTTTTTATCCCCTCCACCAATTTTGAGGGACTTCTTTCTCAGTAACGTGTCAAGAGTTGACAGCACAGAGATGCTGCTGGGACACGAAGCTGCACAGTGGAACAGGGATAGGACACATTCCTGGCGAGATGTTTGTAGAGCAGGCTGCACTCTGGAGATAAATAACTGCCACCTCTGTGCCTCCTGTCGTGGAATCAACATCACACACGTTTAGCTCATTGCAGGGCTAAACAATAAATGTTTGTAACCTCACAAACTGCACTCAGCTGTTGTACAGAACAGGAGAAGTGTTTCCTTGCTGACCTAGTAGAGGGGAACTTCCTGTACGTGGTACTGAACTGTTGGTGAGTCAAAACTGCGTAATTGTGACATCCTACCTTTAAGGGTGGGATGTCACAGTGGTGGGTCACTAAATCCTAGCCAGGTGCAAGTTCTCTCTCACATCTGATACAGCAGTTCCAGTAGAATCCTGAATAATGAGTCTCTGTGTACCTGGGCAGCTCATGTGCCTGTAGTATCTGCTCTGTGGAGTTGATTCAAACACATTCTCATCACAGCTCTGTGGTGCCTGAGTGTTAAGAGTGGCTGGATTCCTGGCTGGCCTTGTCACACCTTCTCATGTGGGGCCAGGATCTTCACATCACTTTCACAGCTCTCTAAGGTTTGTTGAACAATAAGGGTGGTGAAAAACGAGTTTTAAGCCCTAAAGTGCAAGGCTCAGAGGTTCTTAGTACATCCCCCAAAAACACTGGGTAGTTCCAAGGGAGGTTTGAGGCAGCTGCAGGTTGTCATGGTTGCTGCTGATGTCATAGTCCCAAAATGACTTGTGGATACCCTGGGAGGACAGTTGCACACATTCTGTGTAGTTCCATCATTTTCAATGCATCCCTAGGCAGGCAGGCAGGTGAGTCCTTGGCTCAACCATCCCTGGGCCCACTCCAGTGCAGTCTGTCCTTCCTGGGGATGTGAGCTTCCTTCTCCCTGCCTGGCCCTGCTGCCAGTATGTGGCAGAGAGCCCTCTGAGCTGTTAGCTTTGCCTGTCTCCTGCAGTGGGCTGGTATTTCACAGCTAATGCTCTTCCCTCTGAAGGAGGTGGAAGTTGTATATGCAGAGTGCATTGTTGGGTAAATCAAACTTTCCTTTGAATGGGAATTAGAAAACTTGACCTGTCTGCTCAGTTCTGGTATAGAGGTGATTCTGCTGGACTTTCTTCAAGATCTAATCCTGCCACTGCTGTCCCTGGCAGCAGGAGGGCCATTGCTGTGGAAAGCTGCATTTTTTTTAATGTGGAGAAACTGCAGCTTAGGGGATGTTGGGTCAAGTCAAGAAGGCCTTTAGTCTTCCACAACTACCAGTGGGTTGTACACATAGGATTTAAAGAAGGATGGGTGGAATTTCCAGCTTTAGCCATGATAGAGGAAGGAGGAGGAAACATAGTGAGCAAATTTGACTGTAACAACAGGTTGGTAGGCTTGTGGTCACTACCATGTAGGTGGATTTTGCTGATATAGTAAGTCCTCTTGAGTTTGATGCCTAAAAATACATAATGATCCCTTTTCTTTCTCCTGTCATCTTTTTCTGTTGTACCAGACTGCTGAGGTACAAAACCTCTTTCTGGGAGGTCCAACATCAAATAGCACAAGGCTGCAATTTTTAAATCTTTGTGTCAAAACTCTGGTATTTCCTTTCATGTTCATTTGTTCCCACCAAACCCAGGGTCTGCTGCTCAGAGCAGCAGGTGCTGCCTGTTTTGAGGACTCTGCTGTGCAACTGCCTTTGCTACAGCAAGCCCCTTGCACTCCTTTCCTCAGCAGCACAGCAAACTGACGTGTGGGAGGAAGCTATGGCATCAAAGGAGCCTGCCTCCTTCGTGGACCGGACCACCTGGGAGCTCCTCAACCTGCTGGACATGCTGGGAAAGCGGAATGGACGGGTGGGAGTAATGGAGGTGGACGATGCCGAATCAAGAGCCCCCTCGTTGCTGGTGGACTTTACCCGGGACCTGTGTGGCACAGGTGACATCAAACATAAGCCACAGCAGGCAGGGAGTGAGGGAAAGGAAGAGGAGGATGTGATTCCACCACATCTGATTTTTATGCTGTGGCAAGCCAGTGTGTTGAAGAGGCTCATGCAGTGGGATCATTTGGATGAGGCCATCCGGGATGTGAGGAACCTCCTCCCTTGCCTGCCGGATGTGCTGGTGCTTGTGATGATCCGTCCAGACTGCCAGGAGCAGCTGGACCAGGCAGTGAGAGCACTGAGGAGAATGCAGTGTGTGCTGGATGGGGCCCTGCAACTGCCCGTGGAGACGGCGATCTACAGCCCAAGCCAGCCTGGAAGTGTCCTGGAGGCAAAGAGAGCTGCCTGTAGAGCTCTGAGAGAAGCCTTGAACTGCCATGAAGGTAATTGGTGACACAGCTGAACACAGGGCTGAGGGACAGACAGGGTTTTGGGAAACAAAAACATGCTCAGGGTGAGCAGGGAGGAGTCTGAGAGACAGTGTAGGTGGAAGTGGTGCTTGGTGGCTGGATTCAGATACAGGAGGAAAGATAAGCTGGACCTTGCAGGCAATGTGAACTGGAAAAAAGAAATAGGGCTTAAGGGTAGGGTAGGGATGGAGATGGACCATGTGTCTGAGCCAACTGTGCCATCTTCTAACTCAGGTGGTGGTGGCTCTTGCTTGCCCCAAACCACAAGTGGCTACAGAAATGCTGCTCAGTGTAAGAGCTGCAGTTCTGACTCCACTGCTGGGGCTTTCTCTGATGATGTTAACAGTTCTTCACTGGAGGGATGGGCCAGCCTTTCTAGGTGAGCCACAGGCCAAAGCTTTGAACAGGATGGTGCCAACTGTTCTGTCATTTGTGTTTCCTCCCCTAGAAGTCGACTCCCAGGAGCCATTTATTATTTCGCTCCCGGAGCTCAGATATTGCCGTGTTCTGCCTGAACGTAGGCAAGACAAGGTATCAAAGATGGATGGAGAATGAATTCCCTTGGGCAGCAGAACCTGTCAGGTTGGTTTTAGCACTGTTCAGCTGGATGTCCTTTTGCAGAACACTTCCCTCCTGGTGCCTTGCTTGTCTGCCCAGGCCTTCTGCATGGATATAATTCATTTTGTGGCTGCTGCCAGAAGGGGACACTGCACCCTCAGCATCACACTGTCCTTGCCACAAACCTCGGAGTTCTTTGCTGCACTGGCTGAACAATCTACCCCAGGAAACTTCTATCAAAAATCACTGAGTTTCTGCTTTGCATGAAATGCCTTACTTGATTATCAGAATCTCCCTGAGAAACCTGTCCCTAAGAGATCAGCCACCAGCAGAGAGGGAATCAGAGCAGGCCAGAGGCCTCTGGATTTAAACTGTCCCAAAACTGAGATAGTGAAAGAAACGCAGAGCTAAGACCTAAGACCGTGTTTTCCCAAGAAAGCCTGGATGCAAGGGTCCTTGGAACGTAGTTCCCATCAACACAAAGCTCCTGAAACTCCCCAGGGTACTTTGTAGCAGGGAGCTGACCTTACATACAAGTGAATACCAGTAGACATCCAGCAGGTTGAATTATTGGGATGGGTTATTTTGGATGGGAGGAACTGTGGGAGCAGTAGATTATTTTTAAGTCCAATTACCCACATAAAAAAAAAAACTCATTTCCCATCCTTTCTGGGCATGGCAAGGCACTACGGGTGTTTTTGTATTGGGAGTTTAAATGTATTTTTTTTCTGGGTTTTTTTTACAGATCTTTTATTGCCCTAAGGTCTTCATTATCATCAAAAGAAGGATTAAAAGCCTGATATTTATCTCATTTCTTTGTGTGTTTGTGTGCATCTATAAGCTTTAAAGCTTATATTTAAGACTACAAAACTCCTGCTGAAGCTGCAGGTTTGTGCAGTATGGTACAGAAGGGGTGGGATTTGGGGGTGGCTCAGAGCCTCTGAACCAACATTTCTCAGGGAAAGAATCCTCCAAGTTATTTTTCAAATATGGGTTCTTTCCACATCCTTAAGTACAGTGTGGCTTTACAAAAAAAACCAACCTTGGTGCAGGTGTTGGGGTAGTGCTGGTGCGTGGCAGCCTTTTGGATGAGGTGACCCAATTGCTCTGTTGTGGTAGAGACTGTCCATGAGCATTCAGGCATCTGAAGAGGAATTCTGCCCTTCACTAGCGAGGGCACTGACTTTTGTTTTATGGATGAAGCTAATGCAGAAATAGTTCCCTTGAGTCAATGCAAGACGTGTACAGTTCAGGCTGTTTGTGTGTAGGAAGGTTGGTGTTAAGAGCCTCCTGATCAGCACATTAGGACATCCTTAAAGCAAGCAGCCACAATGAGGTCCTGTGTTCTTATTATTTCCTGTAGTATCTGAAACACATGGATAACCACCAAAATCCAGGCATAGGCCATGCAGCTCTCAGGTTTCTCCTTTGGCAGCATGTTTGCACTGTGTCCAGGCACTTTTGTGCAGGGTGATGTGCAGCACTGCCAAGCACTCCTGGTGAAAGGGGAAAGAAACTTTGAGGCATCTGGCTGAAATCCTGGCCAGGGCCTGGGAGCACGGGAATGCCCTGCAAGGGCAAGTGATGTAGCCACAGAGAAGTGTGGCTGGGATGAGGAGGAGAGGAGGCAGAATGCCATGGATGTTATCAAGCTGCACCCTTGCTTCGTTCTCCACCTAATCCTGGGTGGATATACAGGACTATTTGAGCTCCCTGCTCTGCTGCTGGGACTGCTCCCCCAACTTGCTGAAGTCCAACAAAGGCAAGTCATGGGACATCTGCTCTTTAAATGCTGAATGCCTTTCTCTCTTTGACTAATGCAGGGTTGGTGGGTTCTCACGTGACAGCTCTGCTGCCAGGCTGGCCAGGAGCAAAGTGGAACAAAGAACTGTGGCCTAAAAGCTCTCCACCCAGCTCAGCTGCAGCCCAAGGAGAAGGCACACCAGCAGGCATCAGGTCTGGCAGGACAGCCAGAAAAAAGGCAAAAAGAGGCAGCGTGGTCCTTGGGTCTGATTTCATATTAATTGCCAGTTTTTTAACATCTTCCAGTGGAGGATCAAAGAGCAGAGTAACCTGAGGAGCAGCCTCCATCCATCTCTAAGGTGTCAGGCAGAGGCATCCCTCCTATTGTGTGATCAGGTCTGACTCAACAGTTTGGGCTCCCTGTACATGGCCCTGTGCCAGAGTCCCATCCTCTTCTTCAGCCATACCTTCCCATGCCCCTCTGCCATCCAGAAAGGGATGGTGACTTAAAGAAAATTAAAGAAACTTAGGACAACTGCAGAGATGGGCAGGAAGAGGCAGCTTTCAAAGGGAACAGGATTTGAGAGAAGAGGGACAGGGAAATCTTTGAGGTTCCCCATCAGGAAGCCAGGCTGTGTCCCAGGCATGGGGCAGCCAGGAACTTCCCAACTTTATTTGCTTATGGTGTGTAACCTCCCCTGAATGGAGCTCAGAGAAGTTTGATTACTTGCATGGATCCAGGCTGCCATGGGACCAAAACTGGGGCTGCCCCAGCTGTCCCTGGAGGTCTGGGGCAAGGGGACCTGGGCCAGAACAAAGTGACAACCCAGCTTAGATTTTGTTGTGACTGAACTTGTAACAGAAAGGGTTCTGTCTGGTTTGATACAAAGTTCAAGCTCCAGCGGGTGAAAAATAGAAAGGGGTTTGGGTTCAGGGGCCAGAAAGGTTGAAGGGAGTTTCGGGGAAGGTCACTGGAGGAGATGGGAAGAGCCATGGAGGAGTGAACACAAGATAGGCTAGAAGGGTATCAGTGGGACTAGGATGTTCAGGACAAGGGGATAGATGAGGTTTGGGATATTTTCTTCTCTCACAATTACCTCCTCTACTACTTCTTTGGGGTACCCTAGAAGATCTCCCTGGATGAAGAGCTCAGTGAGTGCTGGTGCCCTGCAGCAATGCTCCTGGTAGTGCTGCACAAGTAAAGCAGATTCTTTCCAGCAACTCATAAGGATGTGTTTTTCCAAAGCAGTAAATTGAAGCAGTGTTGGAGAACAAGTCTGTGACAGAGCGCTTGTGCAAAGATTTGCTAAGGCTTAGCTTGTCAGCAGCCAGTTCCCATTCCTGGCTGGCTCAGAGGCTTTTCCATGTGCTCCCATGAGCACCAGCACTGGGCTGGGTCACTGAACATTGGGCTCAGAGCTATTCCCACAGAATTTCTCTCTGCATTTCTCTCGTCAAAATTGGCATGAGAATCCTTTTTCCCCTCCTCTTTCTACTCTCTTCAGAAGCGAGGTTAATCTTGGTAAATGCACCTCTTAAGGGCTCTAATCCAGTGGACCTCTGATTTTGTTTAGACTTCAAGGCACTACTAATACACATGCCAAATTTATTTCTCTGAACAAAACATCTCTCCTCCTTTGAAGTCCAAAATGAGCAGCTGTTGTGTCTGCTCTGAACAGCTATGGGCATATGTAAGAGATGTGATTACTCTCATTTAGGGCTGTCTGTAGAGATTCTCTACAATTTTGACTGTCAGATGGATACTTGAAGGAGTGTCAGGCCTTCTAAATCCATCTGTGTTTTTGCTCGGATTCCTGACAGGGCTCTGAAGACACTGTGGGGGACTACAAATGCTGCCGAGCTCATGACTGCCTCTGATCTGTCTAAATGGTACCTCTTTAAATAACACAAAGGGAGATAAAGTTGTATGTGCTATTAAATCTTACCTCTGTTAATGAGTACAGAAATGTAAACAAGGTTGTTTGGGTATTGTGGGTGACATTCACCTTTCCAAACAGCCTCTGCTGGTGTGTACCCAAAATTAACTAAAGAATTGCAGTGGCCATGGGGACCAGTTCTATGTAGTCCCAAATATTAGTTTTTAGTGGCTGTGCTGGCAGTTTAAACATTGGGGCTGCTGGAGAAATGTAGCCAGTGGTGTGCTTTCTGAGCTGAGTTAGGAAGATAACTTCAATTTTTTCTATACCTTCTCTGCAAGATTTATCTTCATAAATCTTGGGAATTGCCTGCCTGAAAGCCAACTTCCCAATGCCTGAGGCATCTTGGCATCTCCAGGCTAGTCACTGGCACAGCAGGGCTTGAAAAGAGCCCTGTGAGATGTGCTGTAAATGGGCTGCACATCAGGGAGGGTGTAATGGGCACAGCACAGGCTGTGCTGGCAGCTCATGAGGAGTTTAAACACTCTGTGGGGTCTTCTTGTGGCAGTTTGCAAGGAAATGAGGGTTTCTGGGACCATCGCATCCTCTTGTCCCCTCCTGCTGCTGCTGGCACAGCTCATGGTGCTGATTACACCTGGGCTTTCCCCCATTGGACCATGAGGGCCATGAGCAGGATTCTGAACAGATGAGAAAAAAATCCTTGTTCATACAAAATCTGGGCAATACTAAGGCCAGACTAGCCTGTTACGCCTGACTTTAGCCCTGCCATGTTGACAGCTGCTCTGAGGGCTATCATGTTGGCATGGAAGCATGGGCTCTTGCAACAATAGACCCTGATCTTTGGAAGAGGAGCCTAATCCTTCTGTTTTATCTCCCCTCTTCCCTCCCCATTTGCTTATCAGCACACGTAATGAGTAAGTTACTTTTGCTGGGACCCAGGGCAGAAAGTCTCTCTCTCTCTTTGCCTGGGCTGTCCATCTCCACGATGCTGAGGCAGCATTTGCTCAGACTGTCATACCTGGGGCAAATGTTTTCCTGGATTAAAATTGGTGGTGCACAGTGACCTTTCCCGAGCTGTCACACCTCTGTTGAGCCAGGGGACCAGCCTGTGGCACATCCCTCTCACTGTGGCTGCTGATCTGCTAGGCTCTGAGAACAAATGGCTACAAGTATGGGCAGGGAGCAGGCACCTGGCTCAGACACCTTCCTGTCACAAGTGTGCCCCAATGCACATGTTGGGAATCACTGATCCAGGGCAAGCACATGGATTTCAGCTCTGCTTTCACCCCTCAATGCACTCAGAGATGGTTTGTCTCCAAATGGCCTCAGATTCGGACTGGCCAAGGTGATTCTGGCCGTTTGCACCTTTGAGCTGTTTATCCCTTCCCAGGTTATTGCGATAAGATGTTGTCGTTACCGGTTTGGAGGAGCCAGTTCTGATATGGCAGAGGGGAAGTATTTACCACATGCCACGGATTGGAGCTTCCTCATGTAAGTGCCAGGGCTGGGCACGGCAGCTTTCATTCACAATCAGCCTGCAGATCCAGCTTGTGGGATACATGTAACAAGTGCCGGCACTGAAGCCCTGACTAAAGCGAAGCCCTGACTAATGCTCCATGTTCACCCCTGCAAATATTTGTGCTTTGATGGGACGTGTGTATCACTGCAGAGCGCTGCTGATGCTGCTGGGGCTGTGACTGTGGTCTATGTTTTGTGTGGAGGAGCTTGGATGTGGAGTTGGCAGAGGGAAAGCCAAAGGGCACTGACTTGAGGAGGGATTCAGAGATGCAGAGTGTGGTTTGGGGACTGCAGCTCAACTGGGCACGAATCAGGGAACTTGCGACCAATGTGATGGGTATGTCCTTTGAGGGCGTAATTGTTCCCAAAGTGGAATTGTTTCCAGGTGAGGCTATAGCCTGGCCTGGCTGTGCAGCTCCGTAGTGCCAATGGCCCACGATGCCAGGGAGTTTACTCCATCGCTGCCCTGGGGTATGGGATGTCACACCCTAAGGGACACCTCATACCATTTGAGGTGGAAGGTCAGCTGCTCCTCTATTTCGACCCGTGTGTGTCCCACTTTGCAGTCACCACAGCCTCTGCTCCTCCCCCTCTCACATTCCTAGCCCCTCCACAGCACGGGCTTTGCATGAATATTATCACCTCTTCATGT